TCCTTGTCATCTGCTACCACTGAGAACAGTCTAGATCTGTCCTCTCTGGAACCCCCTTTCAGGTAGGTGAAAGCAGCTATCAAATCCCCCTTCATTCTTCTCGTCTGCAGACTAAATAATCCCAGTTCCCTCAGCCTCTCCTCATAAATCATGTGCTTCAGCTGCCTAATCATTTTTGTTGCCATCCGCTGGACTCTTTCCAATTTTTATAATTATAAGGGAGCATTGCATAACTTTAAACGAGCACGTTCCCTAATGGAGCAGTGACGTAACTTCGAAACAATGTTAAGTGGGAGGACGTTAAGTGAGGAGTTACTGTATATTAGAGAACCGTTCAACAACTTTCCCGGTCATAACTAAAATGAGAAGAGGTGACCTGGACAATCTGAGGAAATGCAAGGGAAACCAAACGAGGCTTTGTCCCATATGCAAGGTATTTGTGAGGAAATTATGATTCAGTGGTCTGAAAGGCATTTGGTCTGACAGTTTGTTTCATAACAGATAGGTGCTATGTCATGATAACCACACTCTGATCACTGGTTGGGTTCATGATTCACTAATAATTCCCTGTCTTTTTGTTCTGTATTTGTACAGGCCTGAGCCTAATGGTTCATGGCTAGGGATCCTAGATGCTACAGTCATACAAATAATAAGCAATAAGAATATAACAATTAAATACTTAACAACTAAGTGAATGTGTGCATACATTATCCAAGTTTAAAAATGGAGATTAAACTGAATAAATTCACACATTTTGCTGAGAAAAAAATCACGTAGGACTGACAACCAAGATGCATCCTTGAAATATTTGATTGCATACATTCACGGTTTAAATTGGCATAATCTAAGATAATACATACCTATGCACCCCCCATTGTTGCTAATCATTACTTTGAATATTAAATATTCCCACTCATTTTACAGGTGTTTCAAGCAGTGTTTGTGTCAAAAATATAACTGATTTCTTAAAGGACCTTTTTTTTTTAAACAAGTTAACAGTTGCTTTGGGTCTTACTGTTAATCAAATGCTGAATGTGACCATCTGTCATTATCATCTGTGAATTCTCAGGAAGGAAAACACAAACCAAGGATGCAATGTTAAAAATGATTGTTTATTAGGACCAGATTGTGACCTGGCTAATGCACTCGTGCAGAGGAATGAGGGATGCAAGTTGTGTCGTCGATACCACAAGGAGAGAGAGAAAACAGCACCATAGAGGCATAGCTTTGACTTGTCTTAATCTCCCCCCTTCTGCCAGATATACTGGCAAGTACAGTTCAGCAGTGCACCACTGGAAGTAATCTGCCCAGGTACAACACTGATTACCTCGAGCCAGAACAAGAAGGGAAGTCAGAACGCAAAGACTCACTATCTGCTACGGGGGAAGAGTAACTACACATTGCCCCTTGCCCCGGGCTTTTGCCACAAATCATAATTTAACCCTCAGTTGAAAAGAAAAAAAAACGCAATTATATCTGGAAGTCAAGTTTAACAACTAAAATTAAAAAACAATGGATCAGAATCCCCGTGAACTTGGGAGAAACCATTTGTGTTTGAAATCTGTGGTTAAGGCCTAGCTCTAAAATATACTCTTCATAACGATTTTTATAAAGAAATACATTTCAACAAGATTTAATTCAGTTGTCTTCAAAAGAAATGCTGCACACTTTACAAAAGAGGACTCCTTACCCGTAACCTTCTCTCAAATGCTGAGATATTGCCTTTGGTCTGCTCCTTCCTTTGCCTCCATTCTATGAGGTTTGAATTATGCTCTCCTGGTAATGAGATATTGCACTTTCCCAAAGTGGGGTTAACAACGCCTGCAAGAATGTGGGGCTCTGTGTTTAGAGTGATCTCCATTCCGCTGGCAAATGTGACCCTCAGCGAACCATCCGGGCTGACCCGATAGATATTCTGCGTGTTGTCTATCAATAAAACAAGATGGGGAAAGTTCAGTTCTCCAGCTTTATGAAACAAATGTTAGATGTGCAAGGGTATGTTTGTCCATGGTTTATAGGCAGCTGTATATATACCAACTTCGGTATACGTTTGTAACCTAGAGGCTGCAGGTCTTCAGATATGTAAACACATTTTCAGTAAATTTAGGCCTTATTATTTTCATATTGGAGGCATCCTACATCCTGAATAAAGGTCATCTGCCTTCAGATCATAGGCTTTTAAAAAAGTGAATTCATCAGGTTGGCTTTTTGGCCACTGACAGTATGCTGATGATTAGTCTGTTGGGATCAATATGCCACTAATATAGTAAAGCATAACCCTTAAATGAACTTAACAAAGAACTGAGGTTGAGTCTGACAATTATTTTTTTAACTATCTAGGATAAGAACCTCTCCCCCGACTCTGTCCTCTTTACGCCACATAAAAGGGCTGAAAAGCCCTATTTCTGGTTGTGGGACGATTTCCCTGGTGCAGGTGCTGTGGAAATCAGTGATAAGGCTGCCTTCTGAGGACCCCCTCCACAAGCCCTGGCATAGGGAGCATGTCGGGGTGCAGCTGGTGGCAGGAAGGGATGTGTTAGTGGTGAGACCAGAACATGAAATGCTGTGAAGAATCTAGGCAGTGCTGCAGCCCACAGGGCACCCAATGGAAGCTGCCATAGGCTCAGATAGGCTTCAAGTATAGTTAAAATTATGCCGAAGGCCTCGGAGCAGCCCTGGATTGGGACAATGCTAAGGTGGTTTAAAGTCACCTTAAGTCTTCCTGCTCCAGGCTGTGAATTCTGTGCTGCACCTCTCAGGGTACATCTACCCTGGAGCTGGAAGGTGTAATTTCCAGCTCAATGAGACATACATACGCTAGCTTTTATTGAGCTTGCACACTAAAAATAGAGTGTAGCTGCAATAGCTTGAGCACCTGTCTATTCAGAATCTGGGTATTCATGACCTACCTACATGCACTCAGCAGCTGATATGGGTCATATTTTGTTGTCATTCCTATAAGAACCACTGCTAGAAGGTGGCATTGCCAGGAATGAATTCCCTGCATCAGCCACTGACAGCATTTCCATGTTACAGTGTCAATATGGCAAGTCAATCTTTTGCGTGGTATTTCTTAGAATGACAAAACTAATTGCATTAAAGGCAATTCTTACCACTTTCATATTGAGATACTAAATGGTGTTACTCATAAAGTCTAGAGATAGCAGAGGTTTCAAAAAACAGAGTGAACCCACTGACCCCTGAATACACTCATAGTTGGAAGTACACCCACCAATGGTCCATTTCTAGTAGTTACTTGGGTAGTATAATAAAACAGGAACTAGAAATTTGTATTGAAGTCAGGAGGAAAACAATCAGACAAAGTAAGGTGATTTTTTTGGGCAAACTGATAAAAATGCAAGTAGCTATAATTTCAAATTTAATAACTATGGCGAAAGAAACAGAGATGCTTTAAATACCTTGTTTTAAAGTGTATATAGTAGAGGTAGCTGAGAAGTTTGTAGCTGTGATCACATTTTCTCTGTTTGAAGATTCAAGTTCTACTCTTGTTAGTTTTTCAACATCACTGTGGAAACTGCTGACCTCGCCAGTTGGAAATGTTGCATTAGTCAGGTGGCCTTCAAGGTCATACCTGAGAAAACAGAAGATTCAAATGTTACAGAACTTTGGAGAGGATCAATATAAATTTGTATGTGCTCCTACGAGCAAATATGGTGCAAGTTTAAATAATGCTGACTGCCAACACTGCATAATAAATAAAAAGGGAAATTGTTTACTTTAATTAATTGTTAAATGTTGTGTTAATTCTTCTACTTTTGAATTCTTTATCTCTGATTTGAGCTATATTTTTTAGTACTTCTGGATAAAATAGGTAATAGGTCACGTTAGTGTAAAACCACTGTCTGAATCACCTGTATCACGTTAAGTTGCAATATATACAATCCGTGGTGATTTAAACTTACTTTGATGTGATATAGCAAAGCTGCCACTAGAGGTCACTCTGCATTCAGATAACTAACAATGACATTTTCTAATATTTGAATCAAATTAATCCTAGTTCTTAGATATTGCAAAATACAAACATAATATTTTGTTGCTTAATTTTAAATATTTAATATGTATGATGAAAAATTAAAAAACCCTACAGTTATAAGTAAATACATAGGATCCAATTCGTAATGGTTATGTTGCCTGCTTGGTACTTACTTAGATGAGTATTTCCCATGGGATTTTTTGAGTAAGAACTACTCATCATGACACAGGGCAGTAGTAACTGGACCTAAACATTTTAGATAACCCATATTTCATAAGTGCTGAGTGAATTATTTTATTTCAGGGAACATTATGTATATTCAAATCAGCCCACATTATGAAAAAGTGAGTAATACACAGACCTGGAACAACGTCTACAAATATGTTTGTACTCTTAACCAAGGTGACCTTCTGGACAGTAGTAAAGCAGGGCTGACCCGAGGTCTCAATTAAACTGGTCTCTTTGAAGGCTCTCTTTTGTGGTTTTATTAATATTGTTACTACTTAAGAAAATGTGATTTTTTTTTCAAAATTAAAATGAATTCATATCTCATCACTACAAGTTGTTACATAATAAGGCCTAGTCTTATAGCTCCCACTGATGTGAATACTTCTGACCCATCCAAGTGGACACATTGAAATTACAGGTCTACTTACTTGAGTTAGGACTAGTCATGTGAGTAAAGGCATATTTCTGAATAGTTAGATTATAATATTTTAAAGTCTTTCTCCCCATATCTACAAAACACTATGAGGCCAGATCTCTGCTAGTGTGTCAAATGGTGTAGTCCCATTGACTTCAATGGAGCCATTCCATTTTACAGCAGCAATCTGGCCATGGTCTTTGTTTGGCAGCATTGCTGTAGTACAAAAGACTAAATTAGCAAAACAGTGTCCATGTGGCCCTAGAAGTATTTGTGCATAAAATGAGGGAAGAAGTTTGGATTCCCCATAAAAAGAAAGAAGAGAAAAATACAGCAGATGTTCTTTTCAGATGAAAACATGTTTCAGACATAACTGCTGAACAACTTGCTTTTTTGCCAAATTAATTCATCAAATGCTAGAAATATTATAGTTATCTCTCTCTGTTTTTCTACTCCACTCATATAGATTATGAACACTTACATACATTCCATCCCCCATACTGCTTGTATGGAAATCGACCAGCTTCCACAGCTGCTGGTTAACCTGACTAATTCAAATCACTATTGTTCATCATTAGAAAAGTCTCCATTAAAGTTGGTCAATCATATTTCATTTCCTGCCTGATGGAACAGATGCGAGAGGCTAGCTGGAGCATTCAGATTGCCTATTTTTTATTGCCCCTTTATTGGAACTCATTTGAGAATAAAATTTAGGGTCTGATTCTGCCACCTTAATGATGGCATATGATGGTATACATAACTCCCTACGCAGCTGTGCTGATGAAAATGGGACTAGAGGAAAATATGCTACTCAGGGTCAGTGTAGATGTGGACATGAATGATTATACATTTATCAATAAGGGCCAGATTGCAGAACCCTTGCACTGATGAACATGTATCCACGTGAGTAGTCTCACTGAAGTTAATGGAACTACTCACATAAGTGAGAGTTCACCAATCTGAGTAAAGATTCCACAATCTGGCCATAAGGAGATCTTTTCAGTCTCCTCCTAAAAAACTCCTGAAGACCAGATTCTGCCACCATTATTCATGATGAGTAGTAAGGTACCATGAGTACCATACTTGGGATCAATGGGAATCATTGCAGACCACAATACGGTAAGAGTGTCAGAATCAGGACCTATTAATGTTAATTTAGGACTCAGTTACACAACCTTCACTCAGGTCAGTGACCATTTAATCTTGCAAGTAATCCCACTGATTTCAGTGGAACTACTCACATGAGGAAGTGCTCACCAATGAATGAGATGCACAATGGAGCATGTACATTCAAAGCTCATTTTCATTTCTATATACTGTATATAGTTAAGGATAAGAATAAACAAATATAATGGTTTAAAGGGAACCTTTTCCGATATGTGGGTTTTTTTGTCCTAGTTTTTAACTGAGGCCCCTAACAAAAATCTCTCCCCTTTCATGGCTTTAATGATACAATATTAAAAAAAAAGATGACTGGAAATTGTACATTAGCTGCAATTTTATGCAAGCGTTCTTTCAGCACTTCCATTTAATCAGATAATAGTAGATGGGTGACAAGTGCTTTTGTAGGTGGTTTTCCTCCCTCTTCATAATTTCGCTCAGAGAGGGAAACTGACATACAGGTAGATGTTCTGAGCTATTCATTATCTTTGCTCGTATTCCAATGTATGTATGATACATGTTGTTAAACAAACTCATCCCTATTTCAGCTTGACAGTGTCGTGGTTTGAACTTTTAGATTTGAATGCAAATCTGGTTTAAAAAGGAAACACGATTTCAAGCAATTTCATTTGAAAGTTGTTCATATATTAATTCTCCTGGCCCCAACCCTATCTTTATGCAGGATTCAGCAGCAATTCAGATGCATCTAACCCTTTCAAAACATCTAATTTTCAAAGTGAAAATCAAGGTGCTTGGAATGCAGAAAGTATCCTGACCTATCTAGAAAATACTGTCTGAGTAAACAGTAAACAGGGACTATCTTATCTTGTAAACCCCTCAGAGAAGGAGGGCTCGATTCCATCCTGAAAACCTGTGCTATCAACTATCGTGCTAATTACTGTGCGTTGTCCCACTGACTGTAAATGTGTATGTTATATTTCATCTGTCATGGGATTAGTCACAGCAGTAGTAATTATTCTCGGAAGAAAAGCATTAGGGCTCTAATGTAAACACCACTGGAAGTTACAAGTAGTCATTGAAATCAATGGGGCTGTTCGGTATTTTTAGTATTACTCCTGGCCATAAGGGTTTGCAGGGTAGGACCCTAATACTGTACCCCATTGGAAACACAAATTATAATGCTTCACTTGGAACACATATAATTATTACAGGTGAATCATTGATAGAAACATTAGTCATACTTAGAAGGATGACTTAAAATATTTGACAAAAATATTTATGGCAGTATTGAATTTTTTATTTTTTATCTTCTTCTTATTTTGTAATGGGAATAAGTAAATTCCACTGGATGATCATAGAGGAAAAAAATAGAGTGAGAGAATAACAAATAGATGGCTTCTCCTCTCTTCCCCTTTTCACCACAGTGAAATCATATTCTAGAATGAGTGATGACAGTAAGTTTCATCACCTGGAGTTGAAACAATGAAAGTATGAAGAAATGTTTAATTTAGCAAAACTTCCTAATGCTAGTCATACATGTCATATTCATTTAGAATGTGCTCTTTTGAATCTCTTGTTGTCAGACAATGTTATACCCCGTCAAGACACAGGTGTCTCCAAGTGACGAAGTCTGTCTTACATCCAATGGGGAGCACTTATGAGAAGACTGAACTCTTCAGAAATAATGTTACCATAAAGCTTGAGTTATGCTTGAACAAATGACTTGCCAGAGAGCAACAGACTTAGGCAATAATTCCATTAAAGTATTTTGAACCGAATGTCCTGTATACATTTCAGTGGAATGGGGTAAAAATAGCCAGTGAAACCTGCCAAGAGACACATACTTAAAAATAATCAGCTCTTGAAAGGTTATCCACTACTCAAATGAAAGATAAAGCCTTGGTAATTATTTTAAGAAGTAATAGACATGACCTGGAACTATTATGAAATCTTTTTGAAAAAGTGATTGACCAATGGCTTAGATCCTGATCCCATAGTCCTAATGTATTGAAATGGCACAAAGAAGTTAAAAATGAAATATAATACACATTGTTGTAGATCACTGAATTCAATTATTCATGAAACACATAAATATGCTTAATCTACAACTAAAGCTCTTAGAATAGGGGAAAACATTGTCAGATCACTGTCACAACAGCACCCGGGACACAGTGAGCACTCTGGATTAATTTGGAGAGCATTATTTTAGTCCATTATAGTTGAAATTTCTATCAGTAAAATTCCTGAGATCAAAAGTTGGACTAGGAAGAACATATATGGTACTGTTTTCCAGCACACCATCAAAAATGTACACATCTCCATTTTAGTGGGCTTATGCCAAGCCTTTTAATCTGTCTATGACAGAATTATAGAGGCCAGGATGAGAAAAAATCTTAGATATCCAATCACAACCTATGTAACGAGCAGCAGTTTTTCTCTGCATCAATCCCACTCAGACTTTATATAACATATTTCTGGAGCCCTCTAATGATCGTACCTCAACTATCTTGCTAAGCAGTTTTGGTTATTACCTAATTCTCACTGTATTTTTTGCTTATATCTAATCTGATTATTTCCACTTTTAGTCTTGGACCATAATTCATTCTTTTCACACTGTCCAACAAAGAAAACATTCCTTAACCTTCCTTCCTATTAGCACCTCTGAAATATCACAGTGTTAATATGCATAAGTTAATCAATCACTTTTCGTATCCTTAACCAGCAACACTAAAATCAATTGGTAAAAAATAAGGAATCCTGAAGTGTCACACATCCCTTGAAGCAAACATGAACCTTTTCTTAGGTGCAACCTCCCTCTGGGATGCCATGCAGTTAGTCTGAATGTTCAATAGCTCCTATATCCCCACTGCTTGACTGACACCTTTTACCATCCTTTCTTGCTCTTTGGAAGTCCTTTCAAGTTTATATTTAGCATCCACCACTCCTCAGGCCTTTCTCCTGGACTCCCTTGCTAATTATTATATATCCTCTTTTCCTACTATTGAAAACTTTTCCATCTTTCTCTATCTCTGTACTTTCATTCCTTTAAGATCCCCAACTTTATTTCCTCTTGCAGCACTCTCTCCAAGTTTAAGTCAAGTGTTCTGCTAACACTATTTCTCCCTTCTTACCTTCTTCCCCAAGGCAAATTTCCTGCTCCATTTCATCACCTGCATCTTCACCTGTTCAACCACCTTCTGCTAACTTCCTGAGTAACAAAGCTACTGCCACAGCCTCTATTCTTATTTGTAGTCTCAACCACACTGATCAACTCAATTAAATGCAATCCAAGATGCAAAAAGGTCTCTCTCCAAAGTTTTTTATGGACCCTCCTCATTCCCTCAGTTGGTTTCTAGACTAGAGCTCTCTCTCTCTCCGTTCCTCCAGCTGCTGTCTAACCAAAGTCACAAACATACCTTACAGACAGCAGGGGTTTTAAACAGGGCTGGCTCCAGGCACCAGTTTAACAAGCAGGTGCTTGGGGCGGCCAAGGGAGAGGGGCAGCACCTGCGGCAATTTGGGGGCGGCAGGTCCCTCACTCCCTTTAGGAGCGAAGGACCTGCCGCTGAACTGCCGCCGCCGATTGCAGCTTTTTTTTTCCAATTGCCGCTGCCGGTCGCAGCTTTTTTTTTTTTGCTTGGGGCGGCAGAAATGCTGGAGCCGGCCCTGGTTTTAAATAACAAAGGGCAAACGAAGTATAATTTCAAGTACTTTTTGTAACACTTAATATGTACTAAGTATGGTGCTTTCACATACAGCAGGCTTTGACACTTAAGAATTAATACTGCTGTGTAGTGTATAAGCTTATGCAACAGCTCTACATGTCTTGTCTCGTGCCGAGTTATTGGAACTGTTGTTATTAGAAATGGCTTGAAAAAATACAATTTTCATTCCAAATAGCATGCTTTATGAGACTTCAGAGTAAAGAAAAAGATGTTTAAAATTAGGAACTTACTCATAAACTGTTGTCCATCCATTCTCATTACTTTTGGTTGCTAGAAGACCTGTGTTGCCAGGATATGTCATCAGGGCTAAGCTGTAGCTTTGAGCATATACCTTTTTCAGAACACCATTGCTGCTTATTGTTAGCCAATACACCTGGCCTCCAGGCACCACTAGCCACAGAGGCAACCCACTAGCATCTCTGCGAATATGAACTGAATTCCCATTGCTGTTAGTGATTGTGGCAATGTCTCCTTCTCCATTGTATGTGAAATTGTAAATATAGTCTCTCGTTATCAGATTAAGTGTGTGAAGATGGGTCCCATTGGTGGTAAACTGATACAATTCCTGGTCTGCTGGGGATGCAATCTCATAAATATTCATGTCACTGAGATGAGCCTTGTTTCGACTGACTGCACGGATGCGAATATTGCCAAGATCTGCTATGTACAGTGTGTCATCAGGAGAGACTGCTAGAGAAGAAGGTGCTTTCAGCTTTGCATCTTTGGCATATCCACCATCACCTGGAAAAGAAATATAATCCATAATCTCTGTGTTTACCTTTTCACAGTGTGAGACATCACACTCTGCCTCCAGAATCTTTGATAAGAGTTAGTGAACCAATTTTTCTTCAATGAATTTAAAATCCATTATCTAAAATGGTGTAATTCTGAATCAGCATCACTGAAGATTAACAATAAGATACAATTATCTCAGTTACACCAATTTTGCTAAATCCAAAAGCCTGCTGCTGGGAAAACTATTACATTGTAAGATGCGAAAGCATAAAATAATGACAACTGAAGATTCTCTCCTCACTTCTTTCCCACTGTCATATAGTCAAAGTACAATAATTCCATAAATAAAATATCCACTCATAAAATAAATAGCAGTAATTTGGATACAATTACAAATGCAGATTATTTTATATTAAAAAAACCCAACAACAACAAAAAAACCCAACCCAACAACCAGCCTGTAATAAACTGTAGTACAGAACGAATGAGAAATATCAACCATGCCCCCTTCCCAGCCAGCACTGGCTACTATCAGGACTGGACTGCACTGCATATCTCTTCCTCCAGACTTTTCAGCCAGGAGGTCACTGCAGCCTAAGGAGTGCTGGCAGAATCTCCATTGTTGTCCTTTACTAATTGAATATGGTCATACGGAGTGGAGACTTCGGAGGTCAATCTCCCCTATATTTGAACCTGATGTCACTTAGAGGTGTACTTGGTGCTTTCATTACTACTGCAGTGTGACGTGTCAGTGAACCAAACCTGTGGCCCATAGGTGTTTGATTTTTCTCTCTCCATATCACAGATGCAAACAACGCTTTTTGGTCATTAACAAACCTCTGGCACCAAGGAGGGGTGTTAATTCCATTGTCCTGGCCGAATTCCAATCTGTGTAATTATAGCCAGCCTATTGACAATTCCCCCCTGTAGTATTATAATTAGATACAGTAACTCTGCTTTCTTATCTAAAATGTTGTGCTGAGTTGCTCTGCACTGTTAAACTGCTACCAAGTTTCCTGCCAGAGGTGACTGCATTGGAGTGGTAGATGAAGCCTGAAATAAATGAGTGCATTCTCCTCTCCCAGAGCATTTATGAAGGAGGTAGTCATAATTTGGCTCCCAGTATTCTGGTGTGTGAAGGAGGGAGCAGCTTGCGTTGCCAGAAGTGTTGACTGGCACACACAGCATGTGTTGTGCCAGAGGGGTGCTGGCTACACCACTTAAAATGTGCAGCAAGAGGCAACTTTTTAACATCCTCTGTGGTTCAGGTTTAGAGGAGGCATAAAATAGGGTTTTACATTCTATGTGAAGCACTTTGGGACACTTGATAAAAAGGGCTATGTGGACTCCAAGTAATTAGCACTGAAAGTAAATCCCAAGCTCTGATGGAGGATGGTGATATCTGAAAATGGATAGACAAAACTGACATATAAAGGTAGGCTCAGAGTGAATTTAGATTTGTGCGTAACAATCTGCTTCAAAACAGGGTAGATAAAGCCCACCCGGAGGCTCCTTCAGTGCCTACGGTGGAAAGATACACATTTATTTTCTGCTTAATTAAATGAATTCAAAAAGATTTGCCAAATTGTTACAGAATTTTTTAGCTTCTCAAGGAAAAAGAACCACTAAACAGTTTTTGTTCTTGCAGATACTGTAACCCAAACCAAGACTACGGGCTCTCAACAAAATAGGGAAGGGAAATGATTAGCTTCTGCTCACCTGAGAAACAGTCACAATTGGGGTCAATCTTGCAGTCACAATCTGTTGGGGCTCCAGCAATTATGGAGATCTCACCATTGGTTGTAACTTGCTGTATGCGGTTTATCTTTCTTTCATCTGTCTCAGCAATGTACAGTGTCCCACTGTGAGATACACTGATTGCTCTAGCTGATTCCAGGGTTGAATGGATTGCAACCTTGCTGACCAAGAAATGATCCATGCCTGGTACCTGGCAGTGAATAGGGCGACCCGCAATAATTCGCACACGCTTAGTTTCAGAAATCTGCAGCACAATGTTATTGTCCAGTACATACAATGAGTTGTCTATAGGGTTGACGGCGAGGTCTGTTGGCCACTCTAACCGCACCTGCAAAAAGAAGACTAGATTTGATTAAGTGGCTTTTTTCTCCCTCAATACCACTTTCCATAAAAGTCTTCTGATGGATGCAAAAAAAGAAAAAAAGAAAGAAAGAAAATGAATTGGCAATGTTTTCTGCATTACGATGAGTGGTTGATCTTTATCCATTTTTATTATAATGTTCATTGTGATTAACTCATGTGGTAGTTAACACCCACAAAACGTGTAATTACTGCTTTTTAAAAAGAGAAGCAAGTGACGGGTACAACCCTCAAAATAGTATTAGGGAATATACTCCATTTAAATAACTATAGGGGACTCAGTTATACACATGCTTTTAAACTGTGCTCATCACCATGGTATCTGGGCACCCGGTGGTCTTTGGATGTCATTGGTGTTCCATTATATTACAACTTCAAGCTTGTTTGTCTGGCTCTTGAAAAAATTTCAGCAAAGCATTTTCAAATGGTTGGATCATTTCTAGCATTAATGTGGAAGAAATGCTTATTTCTATTATAAGTTAGCATCATCTGAAGTTTAAATGTACTACTTGCACAAGCCCATTTAGGTGGGAACATAATAATACATATGCATTCATGCAAATAAAAACACACATAATTCATGTCATGCAACATCAGCCAGAAAATTTTCCAAGTTTGAATGTTATTGTTTCAAGGTTGCACAGAGCTTTGGCAGAGTGAAAAACTAGCAAGGGACTGCTAGTGTTATAACACTAACTGACTGCTAGTCCAAGAGGAAAACCTACAGAGCAGAGGAACAGGATATTTTTTCAATGCTTATTTACTAAGGGTAGGTCTATACTTACCTCCGGGTCCGGTGGTAAGCAATCGATCTTCTGGGATTGATTTATCGTGTCTTGTCTAGACGTGATAAATCAATCCCGGATCGATCCCGGAAGTGCTCGCCCTCGACGCCGGTACTCCTGCTCGGCGAGAGGAGTACGCGGCATCGACGGGGGAGCCTGCCTGCCGCGTCTGGACCCACGGTAAGTTTGAACTAAGGTACTTCGACTTCAGCTACGTTATTCATGTAGCTGAAGTTGCATATCTTAGTTCGAAGTGGGGGGTTAGTGTGGACCAGGCCGAGGAATGTTAATAAGCCTTATCTACCATCCCAACAATTAGCTAGTTAATTCTTCATAACACAATACAGTATCTAATTAATCATAAGTACTTGTAATGATTGTATTTGTTTTATGAATACCATATTTCAGTGGTGGATTAAGTAATATCTATATGCTTATGGTTAGATTTTGCCCTGTACTATGTGGGCGGGAGTGGTAAGGATCAGTGGGAACCTCTTCCTTCAGTGCAGCAGCAAAAGCAAGATTTCCAACATAGTGCTCAAAATAGTGTTAGAGGCATGACCCCAGTGCCGTTGTTTCTGCTGCATCATGACCCTTGGGAATATGGCCTGCCAGCTAGGGGGTATGGGCAGTACCTTTCCCATTCATCTAGCTCACATGCTGCTGTTTGCCGCATGTTAGCTGGGGCTGCATTCTGCTATGTTTCAAAAGAACACAGCGACATGTCCCCTACTGTGGTTCTTCCTGGGAATCTTGGCCTGGTCATCAGGCTTTTAGAAGACCCGCTCCTCCTCCCAGTGCTGGCCAAGGGAGGAGTTGAACTATAGTTTCACTACTGAAGGCTCAAATAACAATAAAGCCATGAAGGTTACATTATAGCCTGTTTCTGACTGGTGGTGTTTCTGAGAAAAGAAATGATTTCATCTGAACGGGACTTTCCAGGTTAAATATTTAAAACATAGTAAGTAAATAAATCAATAAAATGTAACATATTCCATGCAGAAGATTTTGTGGCAACTACTACTTTGTTCTTGTTGCTGCTGCTGTTGTGCTTCATTTTTTCATGGTGCTAATTAAAACCTCTACGAATTCAGAGACTGCAGATGTTAACGTAAGACTCAGCATTAAGGAATGACATATGGTGAAGAGTATGGGTATCCCAGGATACCTGCCTGTCTGAGATCTGCTGAGGCAGCAGGCTGAAGGAAAAGTCTGTTCAGTTACTCAAGATTCAATATTTCCTGAATAAGCTCATTCCAAGAAGTATGTTGCTAGTTTGATAATTGATGTTTTTATAAAGTGAGGGCAATGTGACTAATATGTGTCGTCCTGGGTGGTTATACTGGCTACACCGCAGAATTAGGGAAGCTCACTGGATGATCAGATTCCTTCTTTTACTCCATTTTGCTAGATAGCATAGTAACTGGCATTAAGACTGATGTTGCTGGTTCAAGATTTCTACTGCAGCAGGTGGCTGAGTCATTCCAAATGACGATAGACGGGGTGAAACAGTTGGAAACAGATTTCAGTTGTAGAGGTGCTCATTTCATTTTCCAGGTGACTTTCTGTTCTCTACAGCAGGAGTTAGGGCTGGATTTATATATGGCTTCAGCCTTCATTCTGGTTTCCTCTTTTCAAGTGAGGGATCATTGTGAAGTTGAACAAAACTATGTAGGAACAGAAAATAATGCCTAAAAATAGACTTAGAGGGCCTGATAAAATGTGCCTTCAATGTACTCATATTGCAGAGATGTTGTACAATTATAAAAAACAAAGAACACATTAAAGGTAGCAGGAAAGAAACACCTACTTCCCTGTTTCTTCCTCATAGGTCGCTTTGGTGTAGAGATGATCGGTGATAAACCACGGCCGTGCTAGATCATGTGCTGGTTGTGGAAATCTCAGGCTGAAACAACTATTTCCACCATAATTATATTTGTTCATGTGAGACAAAGGAGATGCTCCGCCATACCATCTGCGAAGTCTTGAAGCTAATTTTATTTTGCAAGCAGACACCTTGGGTGAATCACGCTGCCTTTGCTCAGTGGCTAATCTGCGTTCCTCCCACTGTGAGAAACTATCTGTGACTTTGCAGATTTTAGTAATTTAGTAAATTCAAGCCAAGCTATCAGCTTCTCTGATTTTAGGCTAATAATAGGTTTTTATGTGACTGTATTTTTAATTTAAGTCAAAGGCATTTAAAATCTAGGGGGCCAGATCTCCAATTGAAGTAAATCAATATAGCTGCATTGACTTCAACAGAGGTTTGTTGATTTAGATCAGCTGAGGATTTGGCATATGTTGATGGATGCTTTTTTCTGTCTATCAAAATAAACGGATGAAATATTAGTTGGGGAGACCTGTACAGTTTTTGTTACCAAGGGTCAATGTCTGTTCTCTGTTACCTTCGTGTAAATCTGAAATATCTGCTGAAGCTAATGGAGTTACTGTGGAATCACACTGGTGTATCACAGCAGAATTTGGCCAAATAAGCTAATAAGATCTTCATTTTTCCTAACATGATCAGGGGAATTCAGATATGTCTGAGCAAATACTGCACCATGTTTGTTAGATTCAATGATACCTTGAAAATGCACTGGTTATTCTACCTCTTTGTATTCTTTTCCATCAATCAAATTACCCTCTGGCAGTTCTCTGTGACCAAACAGTCAGTTGGTGCTTCATCCAAGTCTAATACACAAATTACAGAGGACCACTCCAATTCCCATTTGATTTGACTGTGCCTCGTGGCTATTAAAAACCTGTTCATATAAAAGCCCTTCAGTTAGAGTTAGAGGTTTAGGCATGATATTATGCTCTTTAATCGGAAGCGGTACTTCAAAACCCTTATAAACTATCTTTCCTGCTTTTATATTTATTTTTCTTACTTCTTAAAAGTAAGACAACTGTAAATGGTATTTTTATTATTCGAAGGGCTGTTGCCTTTCAAACAATGTAACTGAATGAATGTGGCACTGCGGATTATCCTGAAGTAAATGTAGGCTGGTGAGGTAACAGTTAAGGTCCAATCCTGTATTTCTCACATACCCAAATCGTTGGGCGACAGTCCAGTTTTAGTTCATTGCGGACTAACAACCTTGTGCAATGGAAATGGATGCAAGGTGAAATGATAGCTCCAAGAGTCATCATTTTTGCATATTTATTTTAACATGCAGTTTTCGTGGGACTCTGCATTTAGATGGCAACTTCTTGTGTTGCCTCTACTGCTGCTGAGAGTTAGAGTCAATGCCTTGTTGGTGAAGGTCAAAATTAACTCCTACTTGCCTGGCTTTCTAAATATTTTTAACGCAAATATTTTAGAAAGGTGATATGCACTTAAATCACAGATATGTACCTAAAACCTTAATTTTGGCTTTACCAGATTTTTTTGTCTGGCATAGCTATATTAGATAGGATAGAGAACTCCCACTGAATTCAATGGTAATTTTGTGTGTATAAGAGACCTCTTTCATGCTAACTTGAGGGTGTTCTTTGATTTTGAACCCTTCACTGTGCTTTTTTTCTTCAAATAAGTTGGCTACTTCAAAAAGACAAGTATTACAACTAAATAAAGAGTTCAAGTGGCTTGCTAAACACGTACAAAATAATGTCAATATTTTGTATGTGTTTAGCAAGCCACTTGTACTCTTTATTTAGTTTTATTAGAAGAAAAAAATCAACCCATTGAACCTAATGGCCGTTATCAGAGGGCACCAAAGGTTTAAGTGTTGTGGCACAGGATTTCTTAGCACTTGGATACATTTCATTCATCAGGCAGGCCACATCAAATTCAGAGCATAGGATGCATTATTTCTTTGTTTTCCAGCTATGCCTGGTTGGTATATTTTAAGTCAATTTCATGTAGCAGCATGAAATTCCTGCCAAAAAGATGTTTTTCTCATGGCACAGCATGATGGATTACTTCATATCTATACTGCTCAGCCCTGAGCACTTCCATTTATGCTAAATCAGTTTCTTATTCTATTTTGGATAGGCATCTTCAAACTTGATCCTCCATTTTATTTTTGCCACTAATCTAGTTTTTTATCTCCTCCTATTCAAAGACACCTACAGCTACTGTTTCAACAGAGGCCAAACCATTTTCACTCAACAGACTGTCCTTTTATATAGTCTGCCTTTCTCTTCTTGTGTTCAAAACCTTTGCCCATTAAAACCATTTGGC